AGTGCAGGTTATCACAACAGTGCCCAAGGGAGGCATGGGGAGGCGGGGTCCCTTTGTCCTTTTCGTTTGGTCTCTTCGGGATACGTTCCAACCATTCCAGTGGGTTGAGAAGGCCGTTGGAAGTGGTTAAAGGGAAAACGGCCTTGGCCTTGTCCTTCCGCGACTTCTTCTGTCCTCCTTGAACTTCACGCTGTCCGCTTTGCGCTGCTCACAAAGATGCTCCTTGACATCCGGTGGCATCGTCTCACACCATGGCACACGTTCCGAGAAAAGCTATTCCGTGTATTTGATGTGGTGTTATTGCAACGTGAAACATGATGAAACCAAAGAACCCCCCCCCTCCAAAAAAAAAACCCAAAGGAACAAAAGATGGTGATTGGACATGGCCCCATAGCGCTTTTTTGGCGAGCACGTGCACGAATACGTCAATGGAGGAAGTTGGTGAGACGTCACCAAGTCAGCCACGTCTTGGGGAAAATCAAAAGGCCTTCCTTTCAAACAAGACCAACCATCCGTCCCTTTTCCATTGGACTTCAGTTGAGAAGTACTCGACGCCCTGGACTGGGCATTCGTACCTACATTCGACGCATGAGTCTTCAATGAAGCTCACATGCCGATGCTGGAATACCTGAAAAAAAAAACTGCAAGCTTGGGGAGAACATGCTTGAACCCGGACCCTCTCAGCTGCGTCTTTGAAGAAACGCCATCGCCCTCGCCGGTCATGGATGACAACCACAGCTGCCCCCCCCCATGGCAAAATGGCGACGACTCACAAAGGCTGGATTCACACATCACGGTTCTAGTGACAGAATTACGACCGTTTTGGTTTCCGGTGGCAGGAAAGAGAGAGAGAGAGAGAGAGAAAAAAAAAAAGATGCGTGGGATCCGATATCATCAGATCGGACTCAGGCTTCTGTGATATCTGTCAATGCCAACAAAAGATTGGATCGACCGTCATCCAAGAATGCGCACCCGCTGTAAACGACAGGAAAAGCAGCGATCGTTAAATATGGTGGACGTTCGGGCTGTATAGAGACGGGATACTACGGGCTGTACATTTGAGGCGTGACATCGACGCTTTGTGTTGGTGTTAACGTGCACGTCGAGAGTGTGCGCATGCGGGTCGCTTCGTGTGTTCAGTCAATGTCAACACAGTGATCTGGGATATGGGTCACTGGTAAATAGAAAGGTGGGATTTGGGCATTAAACGGGGAGAGGGCACCGCGACCCGCAGTGGAAACGCAGCCTCGGCTCTCGGGCTCCATCCCTGTGCAACGCGCTGGGAACAAAGAAAAAAAGTCAGGCCAGCCCAACGTGGTTCTAGAGTTGCGTGCTGACTGAGTCCTCAATGACCTCGCAGCTGTCCTCGATGACATCATCGCAGGGTCCTACCCACCCGCCCATCATCATCATCACCCCGCCGCCACCCGCCGCCTCCTCCACGCCGCCGCCGCCGCCGCCTTGGAAAATGTCCTCGCTGGAGTCCAAGAGGCGCGAGCTGGACTCGGACATGTTGGACGCGCAGTGCAGCGACTGGCAGGGACAAGGTGGGGGCGGGGGCAGCGTCAGGAGCACGTCGCGACCGTTTGTTCTCCGTGGCGAGAAAGAGGAGCTGTTGGCGTCCACGGAGCGGCCCACCTCGTTCAGGCGGGTCTCGCTTCTGCTCGCGCGGTCCAGTCCCGAGTCCGAGTGGCCGCCCCGCGGGAGGAGCAGCCCGTCGGAGATGGTGTAAGAGGGCGGGGATTGGAGGGGCAGCGGCGAGCGCTTGGAGCGGGAAAAGAGGAAGGAGAGGCGCTTGAAGGAGTCCGTCTTGGCCGCCGGCGCCGACAGACGCTGCAGGCGGCTCTTGGTGCGGGCCAGCGAGGTGGAGAGCGACGAGGAGAACGACGACGGCGAGGGGAGGGCGCCGGCGGCAGAAGGCGGGACCGCCGTCGCCTTCAGCCCATTGCTCTTTGGTTTCTCTTCCAGCTCCTCCCCCCAGACCAGGCCTTCCTCCTGCCCCACCTCGCTTTCGTGCTCCACCCGGCTCATCCCGGAAATGGAGCGCACCAAGGCGGAGACGCCGAGCGCGGGCCCCGGCCGGCGGTCTTCCTTCTCCAGCGGCACGGTGAAGGTCACGCCCTTTGACCTTTGTCCGGTGTCGCCCGGCTCGCTGTCGTCCTCCGAGGCCACGCCGCCGCCGCCGCCGTCGTCTCGCGCCGCCATGTCGCTGGAGGAGGAGTAGTGGCGGCGAGGAGGACGCCGGTTGCCCAGGAGGTCCAGGACCTCGTAGCGGAAACTGGAGATGTCCTGCTTGAGCTCCTGGAAACAAACGCGAAAGAACATCATCAGGACGTTGAAGAAGAGCGGCCGCAGTTTGTTGGCAGGGTTGCTTTTCCTTTGAGATGACTTCGAAGTGAAATCGGAGAATTCTGATCTTTTGTTGGGAATCACCGTTCGAAATTGTTGCGTCAGATCCAGATGTCATAATTTGCTCGCTTGCCGCGGTCATTGTGATCGTCACTAACGCTACACGTGCAGGCGCCCACCTTGAAGTTCTCCTCCGTCAGGCCCTCGTCCGTCTTGGCGCTGCGGATCATGGCGGCCACGTATCTCTTCACCAGATTTCGTATCACTTCCTGGTAAAAAGAGAACATTAGTGTTCGATGCCGGAAGCGCGCTTGGGGGTATCGTGTGGCGTCACGTGTCCCGCGAATGAGCCTCGTGGAAAACATCTGGCTGGGATTTGGTACGAAATGTCAACTCCGACCTCGGCGAGAGAATCGCCCCCCCCCCGCAAGCGACACCTGCGGCGGCGGACAAGCAGCGTGCGGGGGCGAGCTGTCACTCTCCGCCTCTGCCGGAACGCGACGCCACGCGCTCGTCGGGCGCCAGCCAACGAGTACTCAACAACATGGACGCATTGCAAAACGGCAGCCGCCGCCAATGACGAAGCGTTTCGTTCGCCGAACGCGTCGGCGTGAGGATCCATCACAGTGAGCTTGGCGCCACCCAAACCCGGCGTTCTCGTTCCTTTTGGATTCTCGCTCGCTTTGTGTCGTAAATACGGTTCAAGTGAAGCCTTGCGTTTTACACACCTGGTAATGCTGGTTCTGGATCAGACTGTCAGCGTGACGCTCCTACAGAGAGAGAGAGAATGAGGGGGGGCAAAGTCGAGAAATCAGGGACTGATGTTTGTCACAGTTAGCGTTCTAGCCTCAATCGCAGCTATTATTGCATGCATGGTTGGAGTGAATTTAGAAACAGAAGAACACAGTTGAAAACACGCACGTGTTCATCGCAACGCGTTTCACTCTCCTCTGGAGAAACAGCTGATAGAGTGACGGGAGTCGACGGAGGAGCGAGCTCGCGCGCCTCTCGGGTCCGCTCACCGTGAACTCTCGCAGGTTCTCGCACTTGCGCGGGTCCTCCCCGGGCGGCTGGCCGCGGCCGCACAGCTTGTTGTGGAGCCACATGAGCAGGTACCAGACGGACTTGGGGCTGGGAACGATGTTGAACGGAGGCGGCAGCGTTCCGCCTTCGTCAAAGTAGCTCATCCACAGCTTGGTGCGGGCAAACTTCCACTCGATGTCGGCGTGGTCCTGAACTGCTCTGTGAACTTATGTGGGCTGCTTGGCTTATATAACTCAGCTGACTTCAGATGAAATGAACATGCCTGTGTGAGGAGGGTGGGGGGTGG